GCGAGGCTGTAGGGAGGGAAGACACACTTTTGTAGTCGATAGCACATGGAGTCTACTTTACACCAAAGATTACTATATACAACCCACATAGAAAGTAACGCTGTGAAGTGGGTGTGTAGAAGTTGAGTTTTTTAGATCACTGATTGAAGCTAAGAAATTTGTCGGGGAAAGGCAGGGGAGAGGGGTGTGGTCCCTGTCCCAGCTGAAAACATGTACTATATACAGTCAAACGGCATGTATTGTTTCTGATAGTGGGTGGAGCACTCTGCCATGAAGAGTCCTACGCTAGAGGCACCTTCTGAAAACAGGTGTTGTCCAGGGTTTCCTTACTTGTTCATTGCCTTGTATTTACACCTGGTATTTTAACACTACCTTTATCCACAAGCACAGTTTGGTGATAACAAGGACTATTAGATAGACTGTGTAAACGCATTCCTCCTTTCCCCCTGGCTCACTCACAGTTCTCTGAGGACTGGGGGTATCTTTAGCTGGCTGCTCCAACAAGCTGTCTGCTACGTGTTCTTCGACTTTCCTGAGAGAGAGGAGAGAGAGAGAGAGGGGGGAGAGAGAGAGGGGGGAGAGAGAGAGGGGGGAGAGAGAGAGAGGGGGGGAGAGAGAGGGGGGAGAGAGAGAGAAGGGGGGAGAGTGTACATCTATGAATAAGGGACACATTGAGGACATAGGTGTCCTTTATTCGGAGGGTCCTTTTTCAGTGGCTTCACTCTACACAAATTCTCTGGCAAATAACTGCACCAATAACAGGGGACCCCCCTTTCCCCTTCTAGCACTAAAAGGGACCGTTTTTTTTAGAGAAGAACACACTCCCTTGGGTAGGATTTAAACCAACATCACTGTTACAGGTAGAGTGCTGTTTCTACAGCAGGGAAGCTCAGCAGACAGGGCTAAACATAACACATTGAGGTTGTCGTATTTGTCTAAAGCTCTTCCGAGGTAGACGTATATATGATGCATGTCACAGTACGGGTATCAACCTCAATTGCTTATGTTTCACTACCCCATGCACCGTACACATACAAAACAGGTGCAACAACAAGTTTATAAAGGGCCCTTTGTAGTCGATAGCACATGGTGAGTATACTTTGCCCCAAAGATTTTTTTTACCATAATCAACCACAAGAAAGTAACGCTGTGAAGTGGGTGTGTGAAGTTTGATTTTTTAGATCACTGTTGAAGCTAAGAGATTCGATATGCATAAGTACGTACGTGTCGGTCACGCTTAAGAATGTCAATTAGTCACTACCCCATGCACCGTACACATACAAAACAGGTGCAACAACAAGTTTATAAAGCCCTTTGTCGTTCACTCACGCATCACAATGCTGCAACAATAGTAATAACGTTGTACAATTCAAAGTCACGTATGTAATTGTTCTTTATCTTGTGTAGTTCCACACACATTATGCTCCCGGAAATTACATTGTAGTTTGACTTGTGTTGTGTTCGAACCCCTACCAGTTGAGTTGCCCTGGTAGCTTAGTTGGTAGAGCGCTCGCCTAGACTGCAGAGTGCCGTGGGTTCGAATCCCAATCCAGGGCAGCTCTTCTTCTTTTCAAAGATGCTGTCCTGGGTGTAGTTGACTTGTTGCCCTTGCCTTGCTTTTCTACTCAACTACCAAGTTTTGAGACATACCCAGGTAACCCTGAGGCGGTGGTCAGAACAGCTATGTTGTACACAAACGTTCAACTGGCGTCCAATTCACAGCACAGCACATCGGTAGCTGAAAACAGCACATTTGCAGTTGGGCAGCGGAATCGGCGAAAGTGCACCATGATTTCTTGTATGGTGCTTAATACCACACTCTGCTCATCGTAAGTGCACGCATTGGTGGCACATAAATGATATTGAAATCAGTATTTGTGCCTACAGTAGCCTTGCTATTATTCACTATCCCAATCCAGCCTGTTTATATCCACTACACTCAGCAGACAAACAGGAATACTTGCACATCAGCACCCAACCACCTGCAGTCCCAACTCACACTTTCCTTCTTTTCTCACCTCTAGATTGCATGGATTGATACCACGACTGTGGTACGGGCTTAAAAGTGCCATTTTCCACCACATGCAGTGCATGTTTTCATCCAACGTATCTTTGAGGGTCAGTAAACTACAGAATGGACTCATCCACGTATGTTTCCAACACAACCAACACAGTGGCACCAGAACACAGAGGTATGCCTTCCTACCTGGCTAACTCTATGTCCAGAGTGTAGCTACATCAATAGTCAAAATAATGACAAATACGGTGTGTTAGTTATCTTCGAACAAACACTCACATCACACAGTGCGCAATGGACTTTGCCATAATTAAGAGAGGTCGGGTGGCCCCTAACGCAACAATATTGGAAAGTCTGACCATGACCAAATACTTTCACAATGGGTATGCTTGAGCACAGCACACTTGAAACTAATTGATTGAAGTGGATTAATTCACATATTATGTTACATATTTAGACCTTAAGTGCTGAGGAGTGTACAAAACGTGTAAGTATACTGGTTGTGTGCTTGTGTTATCTATAGACCAACTCTAGCACAGGGAACTAGGGCACAGGTGCCTAACCAGGCCAACGCAATATCTCGCATTTCTTGTGCTTGTGTTCAGCCGACTATAGGCAGGCCACAATGTGTCGTGGGCCACCCCTGCATAACTACTTTCACTGCTCCCCACGCACCAGAGCATGGGCAAACAATTAATGACCCACTGGCTACAACATAAGAGAAGCCCTAAGTATTCATGGCTAGCTCCACTCCGACATGTTTTCATAGCGGACACCACTTCCCAAGGATGGCTGTCCCACTAAGGTTGTGCCCCTTACTTTGTACTGCTAGTTGTCCCTTCCCGCAGGTATACAAACACTGCGTAGTATTTTCAACTTTAGAGGATGTAGGTTTACATTACCTATGTACAGTAGATGTGGAATTGGGGGTTCTTGTCATGGCCAAGCTATGGAGGAATATTTTCATCATTGGGCAAGTTTTGGCCTCACTATAATATACATTTAGGTTGAAGAACTGCTTCATGATGCCCACTTCGGTGCCAACTTATGAGGTTAACACAGAGAGCTTATAAGCAAATTAGAAGCCTGCCTATGACTGTTGGTGTCATAAGAATGCTGTGTGAAATTCTTTTAACCCCTGCTAATGCTCGCTTGGGTAAAGGTACAAGCACACTTTTTGCTGATCATGACATTGCGCACGCTAACATTTCTGGATACGGAGGGTAGAAATTTAACACAAGGTGAGCAGAAATAATTTAGTAATGTCTCGTCTAATCTTGCAGAAAATCTTTTCTAACTGTTTTTCCAGTTGGGTGGGCTAGTTATGATCTACAGCCATGATCTACACGCCATAATCTACACTATATAGGCTAGTGGCAAATAGGAATGTTGGTAAGGAATTGAGAAAAACATGAAAGTGCAAGTTCCCCTTCCTTGCAAAAACAGAAACTTGCTTAAAACTATCATTGCAGCTGAGCGCTGATTTTACATACAAACTCTATACTACAAGCAAGTATGTATGTACGTGTTTGTCAGTGGTGACTGTTTAGTTTATACCAAAGCCAAGCAAATCTCCAAGGAAAACCCAACAAAACATGCATCTATCTCGGTTGAAACTGGATGGTGACTGTCTCTTTCACTATGCAGGGCTTTGGAGTGCACTTCTATTCGACCTTATCCATGCAGTTTTTATACCTGTCCAGAGATAGTTGTCATGTCAACCACATAGACTATGTCAACAGCCAGCATGAAACAGCACCCCCTTAGTGGATTCTTGGACCTCTAGTTGCCCACTCTTAACCTCCAGTGTTTTTAACCCTTTGGACGCCATGGGTATCTTCTTAATAAACATAATAAAGTATTAGCGCCGCCCATATAAATTCCTATGGAGGCCCTGGAAGAATTTATGTGTTGTGGCTGGTTAAGTGTTAATCCCCCCTCCATCATTGACAAAGAGAAGCCAGATAATAATATGTGGGTATAATACTCCATGCTGCCTCTCACTGTGGGCTTGTACTATTTTCTTACCTCAACAGCTGAGACTGGTAGAGCATCAGGTCAGGGTGCATCTGGATGAAGTCCTCCAGATACTCTCGCCTTCTGTCCGGGTCTTCGTTGACTCCAACCAGCATCTCAGAGTTCTTCACCTCGAGCAACTTGAACGCAAAGATCCTGTCAGTCTCGTATTTGCCGACTGCACTCTTGCAAGCTCGGTACTGCTCTGTTAGCTCGATTTCCTCGATTCGCTCCGAGGATGTCTGGACCCATTTCGTGGTGAAAGTACTGAAGAGCCGTTTGGCGCTTGTCTTTGCAGCGAGCTCGTTCTCTGCAGCCTGCTCGAACGTGGGTATATTGACGTACACTGTCTTGAGAATTTTTTCGGCGATGATACGAAACGTTGTAGCGATGTTGTAGTTGCACATGGAGGAAGTAGTGATTACATCTGCGCCGATTTTTTCCTTTTTCTTCAGCTGGTGGAACTTGTCTACTGATTCCTGCACCACGCTCTCCATCTTGGTGAGTACCAGCACATACGTGGCGTCAGCTTTCTTTAGCGTTTTGCAGACGGTTTTGGTTCGCTGCAGTTGAGCGTCGAACTCCATTCCGTCCATGCTGACGTCTACAACTACTGCGAAGCCGCGACGCCACGCCTGGCTATCAGTTTGCCCGTGCCCTTGGCCGGACACCCCGTGGCCTAATGAGTCAGGCATCTTTAGTCTCTTGGGGATTTCTAATGTTGCTCTATACACCAGCTTGGCCACCTAGTTAATCTCTGTGTGCATTACACTCCATCTATATCTGGTTTGTTGCTGGTGGAAGAATGGGCAATACATTGTGTAGTGATCAGCAACACAGGTAAACCTGTAACCACAACTATTCTTTCCAGTTTCTACTGTTACACGTCACGACATCCTCCGAACAACTGAGCAGCCTTGTCGAATGTTGTAACAACCGGTGTTTTAGTGTAAGAGGAGAGATACTTTCCCTTAACACAGTGTGTACGTCCACCAGGAAATGAATGTGCGTAGTGAGGAGGAGGAGGTCCTCTCGCATTGTTTTTTGAGATGAAATGTTGTCAGAATGATGCTACGCTTCACTCTAAAACCCTCTGTGTCAGCAATTTCAGGCGTGTGGTTGCACGTTGTAGTGTGGCTTATGTTCCCTGAAAAATCACTACTGAGTGTGCAACCATGTAGCACACACAGTACAGCTGAGCTACGCATCCAACAAGCTAATACAATGGGAAACGTTTGTGGGAGAAAGTTTGTGTGAATTTCTGTGATTTTTTCTCTTTAAAACTGGTGTATATGACGTCATTTTATACAACTGGACAAGCATTCATTATTTCTCCGTGGAAAACTCTTACATTTCGCAAGTATTTTCTACTTTGAAAAAGTCTTGTTACTACATACATGTGTTTCTCTCTGTTGAAAAAACAATGTGGGTGGGTGACAGGTGATAAATGAACAAGAAGCTTGCTCTGGGCGTGCTATGGGTACAGAAGACCCGATCTACAGTATACACAGCTAGTATTGTTATACTGAGAACACAGTGCTTGGTACTAAAGATGATGTTGCCCTGATATAATAGTAAACTGAAGCCTTGCGCCCAGTACAATGGCTTCAGGATGTGGTCTGGCCTTAGGATTAGCTCCTCATACTGCATGGTCTTTCTCCTCACCTGTTGCGTATATACCAGCAACATATACAGTCAAATTGGCACAATGGTATGGAGAGTGTATAATAGATACTAGAGTGTATAATATAGATAAGGTATATAGGGATATGCTTGGTTGAATCATAGATAACCCTGTTTTTGTAGTGTGTGTGTGTGTGTGCTATATACCCCATAGGCTACTCTCCTTCAGGTTATAGAGAAGAAGAAGAAGCATGCGTGCCATTGTGTGTGTACGAGTTACGCTTGTGGATTTTGGGCACGATAAATGGATAAACAAATAAATTGGGCGGTGCTAACTATTCTGTCTCTATTCACGTGCATGTGGATTTTCCGGAATTAGCTAAAGTCTGAGGAGACGTAAATATTGATGTTGGGAGTGAGCATTGTTGTTGACGTGCGAGTCACGAGAGAAAGTGGGGGACTATTGGCAGACTCTCTGCTCTCTCAAGGCCCTGACTTGGACGCTGTGGCTGCCGAATGAACTGATCCATTCAGTGATAACACAGTGATTAGATCTTACATGATAACGCGATATCAAATAGACTTCCGCTCCCCCCCTCTCTCTCTCTCTCACGTCTCTGGGAAAGCCAAACACAGCCCATAGAAACCTACTGCCATTCAATCGTTGAACAATTGACCCCAACAGTTGGCAAAATAATCTATTGCACTACTAAAAGTGAGAAAATTCTTTCATAAAACAACTTTTCATGAACAAGTGATCGTGAACACTGTTGGCCTGCAAGCACAGCACATTTTTATAGAAATTCACCAACTGTGCAGAGCAAAAAAAAGGAAAAAATCAACTGCAGTTCCTATGTAATCCAGAAAATCCGTTGACCACATGGTATAGAAGGGGTGGCAGAGTCACAGGCAGAACTGAAATATTTTTTTGTTGACTGCCACTTTTATATGGGACTTCATGTTCATCAGACAATCAGATGGGCTAACAGAGAGTTAGTTCATGCTACTGTCAACTGTATTTTGGGTTTATGGTCATTTTTTGAACGTTACTTCTCTCTTCGTTTTCACCATATTAATTAAGGAGCCTCTCTCTCTTGTATATACTGTTTTAGGGTACGTGGCGTTGTATGGCAGTAGAAGCTGCTTCACTAGAGAGGAGTCCAGGGAGATGGGAGGGGAGGGGAGGTCGGGAGGGGAGGGGGGAGGAAGGAGGGAAAGCCTGTAGCGACGGTCTTCTAAAGAAACTTGAAGAACAGAACAGGTATGTACACAGAGAGACACAGGTGACGTTGTTTGTACGCGAAAATGCTAATTAAATGTTGACTTGCACTTTTGTATGTGCCACACACACGGTGATCAGAGCCAAGAGGGGGTTAGTGTTGGTCCAAAGTTGAGACTAGTGCAGTGACCCAGACGATGTTCTGTTGTCAAACTCTTGTTGCAAATCGTGTTGTGTCCACCCTAACCCACACATGTTCGGCACCGCCGCTATTGAATATCGGTATACAGTGACAATACACAGTGTTGGTGTAGCTGTTAGGTCAAAGTTTAATAAGGGACATATTGGGGACATCGAAAGTGTCCTATATTTAGAGGTATCACTTATTCAGAGGTAATAACACGTGTATTAGTATGGGGACAGAACCAAGTGTCCTCTATAGAGAGAGGTGTCCTTTATTTAGAGGATCCTTTTTGCAGTGGGTTCAACTGAAGTAGAATCTGTTGTAGGGCGAAGTGTAAACATACAATGTTGTTTTGTCTAACCTTCTCCCCCTCTCTCCCTGCTACCCACTCTCTCTTTCCCCTCTCTCTCTCCCTGCTACCCGCTCTCTCTTTGTCTTTGTGTAGGCGGTTGGAGACCGATCGTAAGAGTCACACGTCGATCGCTCGGACGAGCAGTTTTCGTTCCATGTCAGATACCGATTCCGTCAACTCCCTGAGAATCGGGGTATGTATTGTACCCACGTGTTGTACGTATATACTCCACACTGGTGTTGACAGACACTCACTGTTTTCACAAAATATCACACCTTCGCAGAATAAGCTGTTTCTGTTTAGAAAGAAAGATCTGTTTACTCATCACCCCCTCTGATTCTCCTTCTCCCTTTCTCTCTCTCTGTCTTTTCTTCCTCTCTCTAGAATAAAGTAATGAAACTCTATAATATAGTAAAATAATTTGTGTGAACTACTGATAGAAACTTTGTAAACATATGCAATCTGTCAGTTGTAAAAAAAACAACCAACAGCCTTAAGCTAGGTTCACAATATGGCGCATTGGCCCATCGCGCCGTGCCGCGTCGCGTCCTGCTGCGAAGATAGAAATGGAGTCTATCCTCTGGCGCGGCAATGCGGGACACGGTGCAACGGGCCAATGCGATATATTGTGAACTAGCCTTAGGCCAAAAGAAATTGTGTGTTGTTTGTTTGTTTATGCTGGGTCCTCCCCTCTCCTCTCTCTCTCTCTCTCTCTCTCTTCGTTTCGTCATCCACAGTTCACTGCAGAGGAGCCCCTAGCAGACGTGACGTCCCACAGACCACTAGACCAGAGTAGTGTGGAGGGAGGAGGTGGTGGTGGGGGAGGGATGAGGGAGAGTGACTCGCTCGTTCGACTCCGCACAGAGAGCGAGATGTCGGGGGAGGTATCCTCAACGGGGAGCAAGAGTCCCAACCAGGGGGTGGGGGAGGAGGGAGGAGGAGGGGGTCAACCCGACGTGGAGGACACACAGGGAGTGAGTGAAGATGCGGAAGACACCCTGAGGGTGTGGAGTCATCTTCTCAAGAACTGGGAGGAGAACGTGAGGAAGAGCGTGAAACAGGTGCGGCAGCGAGCGAGGGAGGGTATTCCGGGGGTGCTACGAGGGATGGCCTGGCAGCTCATGTGCGGGGCTCAGGACCACAACCTCAGAGATCGCTACCCTGCTCTCCTTACCGTGAGTGTTACTGTCCGTCCTTGTGTGTGTGTGTGTTCAGAAATCCTTACTTTTGCAAACTAATTGCATTTTTTCATCATCTGTCCCCTCACTCCTCTGTGTGTCACTACATATTAAAACTGAAAACGAAGACAATCATGTTGCGTTACCCACCACAACAAAGACCAGAGACAGACTCACTTAAATTCAGTCTAGAAGGGGATGAATGTAGGTTTGTTTAGGTCCGCTAATTCTTGGTACAGTGAGCTGAATAGATCATTACTCGGAATAGTCCAGACTGACTGTAATGGAAACACGATGACCTTAACTTAAATCAAGTGCCCTTCTCTCTGTGAACAGGAAGAGTATCCATTTGAGAGGCAGATAAAGAGGGACTTGGCGAGGACATTTCCCGAGCACTCGTTCCTCAAGGAGAGAGACGGCCTTGGACAGGAATCTCTGCTGAACATTCTAAAGGTTTGTACACAGAGCTACAGTGGAACCTCTCTCTCTCTAAGGACACCCCTAAAATGGGGACATCCCTCTAATATAATGTATGTGACCTTTTCTTTCCCCAAACAACAGTTCTTACGCCCAATTCAACCTCTGAATAAGGACATGTAATTTAACCTCGATGTGTATTTTATTCTGTCCCATTGGTGTCTGGATTAGAGGGGGTCCACTCTATTACATTTTGCTCCTCCATAATGTATGAGGCATAAAACCGGGCATCACAGTGTTGGCATGTTCTTTTGCAATGTGTAGGAAGGCTTCGCAGAGTGCAGAGAGTCCACGTTGGGTATTGAGAATCTCATCCCGGATATAGAGGTGTGCAGCCCCGAGTAGCCTGATCGTTCCTGAGAACGACGCAGTGGTGGAGTTTACCGCCGAACTCGCGTCCTGCGTCTCAATCAGATAGGATTCGACGTCATGTGAACGTCCTCTTTATCGATCAAGCGTAAAATCTCCATTTGACAAAATCCACTTCGCTTTTTGGAGCCAGCGTTAAAACTCTCGCGCCGATCGGCTATCAGAGAGTAATCCGCTGCCGCGCGAGCAGATCGCATGCGCTTGGCTTCCCAGATATCGTATCGATGAGGACGCGTATAGCCGCTCAATGGAGTGGGTGACGGGCTACTGTCTCTGTGGTGAGGTTGTGCTACAAAACAGTCTCAACAACCCCGAGATTCTTTGTGGTGCTCATATTCCAGTGAACTATCTTCCTATGTAGACTCTCCACGTTTCCTCTCTCCTGCTTTAGTCGCATACAGTCTTAACAACCTCTCGTGGCATCTGTAGGCCGAGCGACCTCTGGTGCGCGGACCATAGCGTCAATTAGATTAGAGTTTTCGCATCGGTTCCAGATGCGGGTATCTCAAGTTCAAGCGCCGATAAGGTTTGAAAATCGCATGGATAGCCGTTCCAAGACCCCGCGGTGGGACATCCTGATCAGGCAAGTTGTTTGCGCGTCGACTCTTGATGAAGATTAAAGTAACTAAGTCGGTATATTCATCCGACATAGTGTGTAGCAACTCACTGTGACCGCCTTTGAACTGTTCATGAAGTCGGACTGGTCTCCTGAAGTGCTGTCCAGTCATGCTGAGACGATTGCAGATGTAGACGGCTTGACGCGCCCCAGCGCCACCAATTCTCAATCGGATTCGTCAAACAGGCCATACGTGGGAGCTGCAATATCTCAATAGGGAGTTTCTCAAGTTGCCTATTTTCTTGACGGTTTCTCGCTCCAATTCGGTGGGTCGGTCTAACAAAACCTCGTCGTCTGTGGCAGAAGTGTGCCCTAGATTCGCGTGAAAGTGGATAGCCGATTGTCCTGGATCAAATAGATTGCGTTCGCGTTGGGGGGAGGTGGAAAATCGGGGGTAAAATTGATGGAGGCGACAACAGAGCGGCAGATAGGGAACGGCATGAGAAAAAACAGCTAAGGTGTGGGGGGGGAGCGAACGAGGCACACACACCCCCCCCCCCCACCCCCTCACACCCACACCACCCCCCCCCACCCCCCCCACAACCCACCCCCCCCCCCCCCCCCCCCCCCACCCCCACCCCCCCCCCCCCCCCCACACCGGCCACCCCCCCCCCCCCCCCCCCCCCCCCCCCCGCCCCCACCCCCCCCACCCCTCCCCACCCCCCCCCCACAACAACAAAACAACCACCCCCCCCCCCCCCCCCCCCCCCCACCCCACACCCACCGTAGCAGGCTATCTGGGAGATAATTGGGCGCAGTGCCAAAGGACATCGTCCCTGTCTCGCCCAGTCTGGTGTACTCTCGCGTTGATAGATTGACACATAAACGTCGTCACTTGGTAAACGACAACGCAAGTTTCTGGGTTTTCATCGGGCTTCTTCTACGCTTGCTGATGCGAGAAGTTGTTCAGCATAATCGGATCAGGGACTCCGCGAGATATTCTCTGGCACGCTATAGCTGAGACAACAAGCGTGAGGAGAGATCTGATGAATGCGGGGAGCGATCGACCCTCAAGCCATAGCCGGCACGACCATGACCGAGAGCTGCGGAGCGTCCAGCGCGTTGATGCTCATTGACGTTCCCGGATCAATGACCGATTGCAATAAGAGAGTTACGCTCGGCTTCTTCGGGTTTCGCTTGATTAGGTGTTTATTAAATATTTGGCATTTTTGTTGGTCTTGTTCGATTTAGGTGCGAACTGCAGTGTCACCATGGTTTATTGATGACAACCCAGCGGAATACCGTGTGTCGCGATACCGACGCAGCAAGCATAAACGGTATCGGGGTCGCGTTTTCTTCAACAAACCTCTGCGGGCGACTTCATGTGGAGAAAAGCCTTCATGGATTTTCAACAACGCTGTCGCACGCTCTCGAAGATAAGCCGGTTCGCCTTTATCCCGAAGATCAACGAGGGCTTGTATTTCGCCTTCAGTTAACTCCAACTTATGGTGTTTTGCCATCAGAGAATACCTCCTTTGGCAATAGGATAACACGAATAACAATATTACCGAATTAATTTTTTAATCTTCATGAAGATAAGAGAGATAGTCAACAGCTGCTCTGAGTTTTTCAGTAGAGAGCTGTCTGATTAAGGTAACTGCCTGCTGTTGCAAATCTGTTTTTCGCATTATGAGCCTCCTTAGTTTTAAAAATAGAGACACAATTAATCGACTACGCAACTTGTGGTGGACGACGTATTGACATCGGCTGGATAATCTTCCGTTGGTCCGGGGTCAAACGTGCCAACAACTCATCTGAATGCGGATAGTCAAAACCGCTCTCGGACATATCTCGGTGAATAACGATAGACAATAGAGCGGCGATACCCGTCATTCGTCCGCTCCGCCGATCCGTGCGTAATCGCGTCTGTGAACATCACGACATCGCCTGCTTTCAGATAGATCTCCTTCGTCCCAAATGCCGTTCCTGCCGGTTTACCGCTAATGCCGTCGTAAACCAAGCCTTTCCCGTCGTGCTTCAAACGCGGGTGTATCTCGGTGCATTTATGACTCCCCGGTACAAGTACGGGTGCACCATCTCCGGGGCCAATATCGTTGAGTGCCATCAGGACGTTAATCTGTCCTACCATCCATTCGCCTGTGTTCTCCTGCCGGAATGTGAGGTAACTCAATGGGACATGTCCGCCGCAGTGGATATGAATGAAACCACCGGGACCGCGGACATTGAGGAAATTTTCATGGATAGAAAGCCCATTGACTTCGTGGACGTATTTCCGAACCAGACCGACCCATGCCGGATGGTCAATCAACTTCTCGAAAACATCGCCACCCTCAATGATATTCTGGAAATTCACGCCGTTTTCGACGTTGTACGTATGCGTCTCAATATTGCCGATCCAGCGTGGCATCCGTTTGTCCTCTGTGTTTTCCTCCCACGGTGCTTCAACGTACGCCCAATGTGCATCGATCCACTTGTTCATCTTATCCAAGTCGTCTTCCGAGATGGCGTTCTCTAAAATCAGATAGCCTTGTAGGTCGAACAGATAATCTTGTATCTCTTGATCCATGTTCTGTCTCCTCAGCCAGTAGGTGCGGTTAGGAAACCGCACCTATAGAATAAAGCTGCAACTACAGATATGCGTCCAATTCCGTTTCCGTGGGTGTCGGTGTTGAAATACCGCCTTCGGGATTTCCAACTTGGCTGTCCATACGATTGCGTTGAGAATGAGTTTACGGATCTGCTCATCTGCCCAATTCCGATGGAAATGCCCGCCGGTAAATCCGAAGCCGCGACCGCCATCCGGACGCTCTACACACCATCCCAAGTGTTGTGGTTCACCATTCGCCACCGATGCCCGGACATGCGGGT